TAATTAAATGTGTTTCAGGAATAACAGGGCAAAATCTCACCTGTTTTATTTGGAGGAGAAAATGTAAACAGCTTAGACTTCCTAGCTCTGAAGAGATCCCAAACTGACTCCCTCTGAAGGAGTTAATAAGACCTCAAGATAGAGAGTCATGGCTGTTGACATCTTATGTGCACTAATGACAGTGATGTGATCCCAGAAGATATATGTGATCTGGAAGACGGTGAAATGAAGGTGAGAGGCAATTGAAACAATACAAGAAACAAAATGATTAGATCACCCAAGCACGAATGAGCAATTTAACACAGATGCATCCGTAAACCCACTTAGTATAGTAAGTCAGAAAGGCATGCTTATGTAATGATCCTGGTGGTGAATGGACACAGAAGAGAAATTTGAGACCATTGGCCCATATCAGTGTTTCTCAAAACCTGTTAACTGCTCACTCAGGTGTGTATTCTTACAAGCGCCATGGCCAGAGTCTTGCAGCTCCTATTGGCTCCATTTTACCATTTGCAGCCAAGGGGTGCTGCGGGAAGTGGTGGGGGCTGGTCTGCTGCTTCCTGAAGCTCCCCTTGGCTGCAAATGGGAAACAGAACCAATAGGAGCTGTGAGGCTCTGTGGCCCGCCGGTAAGTAAACACACTAGAGTGGCTAGTTAACAGGTTTCTCAAAGAGGTTTCATGCACCACTTTGAGAAACACTGTACTATAGTCATACAGAACCCCAGAATGAGGTGCTGGATGAGTCAAATGATGTGTGGGATTTCTGTAGGTAGCTAATGACTTAGCAGCATGAGATTTAAACTGGTGGAAGTGAGATCAGATCCTGGCCCATTGTTTGTGTATTAGATCATGCTCTTCTCCTTTATTTAATATTCTAACTTCTTTTTGTTGTAAGACAGCAGCCCACATCTCAACATACAGCTTATGCAGATGTTTAATTCAAGAACACGCTTTTGCTGAGATGGAGCCTATGTTCAGTTTAGCTTGCAAGGGACTGCATTCAGATTCTGAGACTTATGTAAATGGATTGCCAAATTAATGTCCGTCTTTTCTAACACAGTATGCTATCATGGGTGCCAGTGTACTGTTGATTTCTATTTGTCTGGTCATTTTACTTTATAATAGAACAACAATTTAATATGCCCCCTGTCAAGACAACCAAGGAACATTTTTAAGATACCAAAAGCATTTCAATGACCAATCTTGTGAGCCTGGGAACCTCATTATAATATAATTCTGTGGGAGTTTGTGAATATGAAGCACAAATAATTGGAATTCTTAAACTGGTACAAATCACAGTCACTTCTGCAGTCACTGGGATTACATTGGTGTTAAACTGGCGTAAGGGAAAGTTGAATTATGGCATTAGTTGGCTCACTGGTGTTTTTTATTGGTTCTGCTTCTGTTCTTGACATTAGTTGGGCAGGATGCCCGGTTAAGTGAATTATGTTTTAGCACTTTTGTTAAAATGATTAGAGGCCTTTGGGCATAGACATAAACAAATTAAAACATATTCAATGATGATCTTATGAGTCACTTAAAGCCTGGCAAAATATGATCATTAGCTCTTTAAATTTAAAGACCCTATTTCTGCCTGGATTAGGAGAGGGTGCTCTGAGATCTAGATCAGGGCTACTCAACACGCGGCCCACGGGCCACCTGCAGCCTGTTTGTGGCCCATGGTGTGGTTTGGGTTTACGCTGGGCTCAACATGCGGCCTGCGGGTGGGATCCTTTGAATATGGCCTCCACTGGGAACATGCTCCACAATGGCGAGGCATCTCCCAGGAGGGGTGAGCACTGAAACATGCAAGTGAACAGGCTGGCTGGAACAGATGGGTACATGGTGTCGGTGTTTCTAGATCCCACTGAGGAGGTACTGGGAGTGCCGGGGCATTGGGGGAAGTGCTGGCTGCTTAGCCTTTTGAGCAGAGCCTGAGAGGTGCTGGCTGGCTCACACTGGCCATATTTGGGTCTGGCACCACAGTTGGGCAGCTCTGCCTCCGTCTCGCACAGAGCAACACACTCCCATGTGGGGACATCAGCCCTGCTGGGAATCCAGGACGGGGTTCCCGGGCATCTTTTTTGCCTCTCGTGTCCAGCCTGACTCGCCCAGCTCCCCAACTGCCGCAGGTTGGAAACTTTTCTTTTTACAGTAAAATCACTCCAACAAATGCACAACCTGAAGGTTCAAGCTAAACTCCCAAAACACTGGTATACAATTTTTTAAAAATAAGCAGCATTAAAAATGGCAACAAAACAAAAAAGTAGTCAATATAATGGTCTTTTGTTTATATGAATTTTAGTAGTTAAATTCCTGGACTGTAATTGCTCATTAAAAGTGCTGTCATATGGGTGGAAATCAGGTAAATATTGCATTTTATTAATATCAGCAGAACTGACTTAAATGGGGCCTGTGTGTTGTGTAGTCTTGCCTTAATCTTTGTATTCATGCCCGTCAGTGTGAAACAAGCTATTTGCATATATAGACTCATAGACTTTAAGGTCAGAAGGGAACATTATGATCATCTAGTCTGACCCCCTGCACAGTGCAGGCCACAGAATCTCACCCACTCCCTCCTAGAATAATCTTCTCAGATATTGAAGCCTTCAAATACTTTGAAGGCCCCAAGATGCAGAGAATCCTCCAGCTGTGATCTGTACCCCATGCTACAGAGGAAGGCGAAAAACCTCCAGGGCCTCTGCCAATCTACCCTGGAGGAAAATTCCTTCCCGACCCCAAATATGGCGATCAGCTAAACCCTGAGCATGTGGGCAAGACTCATCAGCCAGACACCCAAAAAGTTCTCTAGTAATTCCTATCATCCCTCCATTGACCTATTTCCCACTGATAATGAATATATATTTGCATGTATATGCAATCACACTTAAATTGCGGCCCTTGGCATATGCTGATAGTATCATTGTGGCCCCTGAGGCTTCCAAAGTTGAGTAGCCCAGATCTAGATGGAGCTTATCTCATGGTGATAGCTCAATACAATAAAGTAGGGATTTATGACAAAGAAACTTGCCCTGGAATTGTACGCTTGCATAAAAGGGTAAACATATCTTCTTGCTTTCTGCCCCCTACTTGCTTCAGATCACACTCTGTGTTGCAGCTGATCTTCCTAGTGCTTACTTTAAGTGCATTCTGAGCTGTGTAAACTATCTAAAATGTAAAAATGTAATAGTGTAGAAATCAGGAATCAAAACTAGCTTGGCATGACTGAAGTGAGTATGGATGTAGATAGCTATGTCTTTGCCCTGCCTCCATCCCCAGAGTGGTATAGGTTAGATTTGTAATAGTTTTCAGAGAGTTACATGTGGACCCATTGACCTGTACCGAACCTCACTTTATTGGGCAAGTACATTTTGAGACACGCACCCCAGCTGTTACTTTTTGGAGATATTATTAAAGCTTGTTCACTGACTAGTACAATGGTGCAAAATGTGCTATGTTCTATGAAAATGGATTGGAAGAGACAGTCACTGTTCCAAAGAATGTATAGTTAAAACATCAGCTTTGTAAAATGGCCATCTTCATAGCCTAGCATATGCACAGGCCCTATTGACATGATTGTTATAAAGAAACAGTTTTGTAATTTGCTCATTGAAACATTGTTATTCACCTTGACAAGTAGGATTTTGCAAAGCTGCTACTGAGTGTATGTTACAGCCCCATGCAGCTGAAGCTTCCAAATCTGTCATTTGTGTTGCTTGCTTAAAATACAGTGTCTTTGTATAAGTGGCAGGCCAGACAGCTCATACTTTATCTGGGTAAAACTTAAAAAACAACAAATAGTCTTGTAGCACTTTAAAGTCTAAAAAACATGTAGATGGTATCATGAGATTTTGTTGGCACAACCCACTTCTTCAGATGACCGGTCAGATTAACGTGTTCTCCCTGGGCATACATTAACAGATCGTCAAGTAGCTGTTTTGTTACAAACCAATTCCACAAGCCAAATACACAGGGAAGGACTGGAACTACAACTCATTCACAAATTCCATTCTCACACTTATGGACTGAATAAAGATACTGGATGGCTGGATCATTATCAACCTACCAAACAATGGTTCTTTGTCTATGTATAATCTCATGTTAACATACATCAGTGGTCCCCAACCTTTCAGGGCTGCCAGGTGCCCGGGGGTGGGGCCGCTCATGCGCTGCGCGTCCGGGGGCGGGGCCATGCATTCGCTGCATGCCAGAGGGGGTGGGGCCTCCCACATGCCATGTGCCCAGGTCCGGCACTGCACATGTGCTGCGCACCCAGGGCAGAGACCACCCATGCGCCCTGTGCCCAGGGCTGGCACCACACATGTGCCACGTGCCCGGGGCAGGGGCAGCCTACGTGCCTTGTGCCAGGGCTGGTACCGTGCATGCGCACGCACCGTGGGCGGGGCCGGCCCAGATGATTCGGCGGGTGCACATAAATGCCCTAGCAGGAGCAATGGCGCCCGCGGGCATCGCATTGGGGACCACTGCCATACATGTTTTGTTAGTCTGGTAGCACTTTAAAGACTATTTGTTGTTTTTTTAAGTTTAACACTGGTATAGTGAGGGAAGAATAGTCCTTTGTATTCCATTAGGTGGTAATTAAGTATATAGGAATTGTAAAGCAAAACAATATACATTCAAAAGCTTGAGGAGCTGTGTAAGTGGTTAGACCCACCTGCAGAAAACCTCTTGGCACAGACTCCACTGGGACCTGTGTTTGTTTGCCAACTAGTAACTGAATTAATTCTATTGAAAGGTAATCAACAGCTTTACATAAAATGTTTGCTATTTCCCCAGGTCCGTAGCACTACAACAGATGTGCTTATAAGTGCCACATTGTAGTGAATTCACAACAGCTTCAGAGATTCTGAGAGAAAATAACACTTTTCTCCTACATGCTGGTTTACTACTGTTACCTTTAAATGTCATGAGCTTTATCCACAAAGCCTAGTTGCCTTTCATGTTTTTTTAAAAAAGAGGAATAAAAAGCAAATCACAGTGTCTTCTGCACGTGCATTTATTCCTAATATACAGTTCTGTGCAATCCTGGAGTCAGTATCCCTCCTGCAGAGCACAAATAACTCTTTCCTCAAAGGGAAATATTTGTACAATGTCAGGGAAGCCGGAAGACCTGATGCTGCAAACAATAGCAGTGCTTACTTCGGTGGAACTCAATAGAATAGTAATAATGGCTTCAAGCACTGGGCCCAGATTCCTAATTATGTTCAGAGAAGACTCTGATGTAGATCATTGCTTGAATACTAGAGGGGAAAATCTGTTTGTACAGCAACAATTTTGTGACCTAATATAATTTCATAACCCAGGACATCTTTTATTAAAACAAAAACAAAAACCAAGTACAAATGATGGTGGCTGGTAGAAAACAATTTAGCAATATTTACCCCCTGAAAAAGTCACCCAGTATTCTATACTGCTAATTTGACCATTAAAAATAATTACGCAATATTTGCACAAACCAAAATTTGACACATATGTGCTAGCAGTATAACATTCAGTATGGAACAATAAAACAAAAAACCAGGACTATGTAGCACTTTAAAGACTAACAAGATGATTTATTAGGTGATGAGCTTTTGAGGAAGTGGGTCTGGCCCACGAAAGTTCATCACCTAATAAACCATCTTGTTAGTCTTTAAAGTGCTACATAGTCCTGTTTTTTGTTTCAGCTAGACTAGACTAACACAACTACATCTCTATTACTATGGAATGATAAGGCATAGATGAAAAATAATCAAACAGAAAGTGTTTAGGATCTGATTCTCCTCTCACAGTGTTGCCTTCAATGATGTTTCTCTTGATTTACACCAGTGTAAATGGTAGGAGAAGAAGATTCATTGAGTTTCAAAACCATCCTAAGGCCTCAGAACGTTGCAAGTTATAGCAAACAGTGACAATGTCTATTCCTCATTACAAATACTATCTAGCTCCTTATACTACTTCCTTACGATGTCAAAAGAGAAGAGGTCATAGCCTGAAGAGACAACTGATGATTATAACATAAATGAAAGTTGTGTTCTTAACTCCACAACAAAGCTAAGTGCTCTCCCACTCTTTCTGTCTTAATTTCTTCCTTTGGACTTTTCCAGAGATTGTCTTCGGTAGTTGTTGAACAAATTCCACCTAATTTATAAAAAATAAAAATAATAATGAAAAAATAGCAAATTAATTCTGATTTAGTGCTATCTTGCTTTTTGGAACAGATCTTTTATTGTAAAGATTAGGGATTCTTTGAAGATAAACCATGGAGAAGGGCCACCAGCATTCATAAAAGAATGAACTAGATTTCTTTTTTGCATACTACTAGAATATATGAGAGGTTTTCCATTACAGCCCTGATCTTACAAAGGGAACTGCTGGTACAAATTTTTCTGTCCCGTAGTACTTCAGGATCATATATAAAATGTAATTAAGTGATGAATGCAGCTAATTTATTCTCCCATGAATAGTTTTGCTGAAATCTGAGAAATATTTGTCTCTACTATTCAAAATAAAAACACGTAATATGCCAGAACTCCACCTCCATAATAGGCTAGATTGCCATAATTTCATAGATTTCAACAGAGCTACAAAGATCTGGTCCTATGTTTCAAAGTTACTTTGAAGACCTGATTAAACGTAGGGAGATAGCATAAGAAAAACAGAGGAAAACATGTATTTACTAAAAAGCAAAATCTGTTTATGTTTCTAATCTGATCTCTAATTTTGATCAGATCAGTTTTAATTTTGGGGTGCATTGTTGCTAGTTACCCTTACATTCAGCACAGGAGGTACTTGCCTTTCTGGGATACTTGTATGGTGCAGTAATTTTTTTGACATGATTTTGAAGCTCCTTAGTTAATTCTTTTGGATCATGTGATGCAAAATCAGGAGACAGAATAACAAAGGCTTTCACTAACTGCAAGACACAGTGAGATACAAGCAACACCAAATATTCAATCACATTTGCAATGATCAAACTGAAAAATATAATTTGCAACATGAAGCTTGCTCTCAGGAGAGAGGGAGTGTAAGATTATGGACTAGAAATGCTGGCAGACAGCAAGCCTCTTTGTGCCATTCAGGGCCTTAGAACTGCCCCAGGCAGGCATCTGAGGATTCACCCAATGTGTGAGAATCTTCAAATAGTATACAATCAACTATGCCTTCCCGTTACCTTATCCACTTAACACCAAGCACAGGAGTTGGAGGTAGGAGGGGTGTGGCTTGAGTACACTGCTTTTCTGTGGTTCCTACCTAGCACAATAGCTCTGTCTAGGGCACTGTTTCAAGTTAGTAGCACTTAGAGCAGTCCTGAGACTAGTTTTAGTTATGCTGCAGGCTAGTTTATCTGCAATACGCCTGAGGATGGAGATCTATATGTACATAAGTATGTTCTTATGCATAAACATCAAGCAAAGTTTTTAACTGAGGGCCTGTTTTGCAAAATGTCCCATTAGTGAGTCAGTAGGTCTGCTCTGAGTTGTACCAGTGGAATCACTGGGGTTCACTAAAGAAAATGTGATTGCTTAGTTGTATGTGAGAGCAGAATTAATACATTTATTTTTTAACATCAAAACAAAATAACACTCGTCAGTTTGCCCGAGTACACAGGGTCAAATTTTCAAAGCTCCTAACCTATATAAGCACCTAATTCCCTTTGAAATCAATGGGAGTCAGGCACCAAACTTGCTTAGGCATTTCGAAAATCCTACTTGACATCTCTGCATTTTTAAGAGGTTAAATACATTTGAAAATCTGGCTTTACTGTTCCTAGATTTTCTTGAGAGCTACAGTTTGTTTCTAAACAAGTATGTACAGTACGTTTTTGCATAACCACTAATATCAACCTCATTACCTCTCCTCTGATGGGATCTGGGCTGCTGACAACAGCTGCTTCTGCTACTGCAGGGTGCTCCATTAAGGCATATTCTACTTCATATGGTCCAATGCGATAACTAGAAGAGGAAAGAAGAGTGTGGTATTTGCAAACTGTATCACTGTATGTCAACTTAGAATGGAAACCCCATAACAACAAAATTTACCCAGAAGACAAAATGATATCGTCAGCTCTTCCAATAAACCAGAAGTATCTATCTTCATCCACAATGCCCCTGTCTCCTGTGAGATAAAAATCTCCGCGTTCTGAGGCAGCAGTTTTCTCTGGATCATCCTGACAACAAAAGAACATCTCACAAATGGTAATGAACCTTTAGGACCCAATCCAACTGCAACTAAAGTCAATGGAAAAAATCCCAATGGACTTCAACAGAGATAGATCAGGACCTCAGTGATGTTGAACCATAAACTGTTACTTAACAGAAGACGATCATAATTTCTCCACCTCTGGAAAGGTTTGATGAAAGCTCATTTATCTTTATTCAAGATGATTTTTTTTAAACCAAAACCTTTCATAATTGCTATTTGAAACTTTTCAGTCTTGCTGTAGCCTATAAAAGTCAGGCATGATCTGATCTCTGATTAATATATTCTGTATTTCGAAGATTGTGATTTCATATTAGAGCTGTGCAAATGATTGCACTTGAGCTGCTGGAGTACTGGCACTTAGACTTAATACTGTCCAAACTGACTGTGAACCAGAAGTGATTTGCCTTTGCCATATGCCAGTAGTAGCATTTTGCAAATTTCTTTTGGCTCCAGCTGGGTGCACACAGGCTTTTCCAGGCATGTGTTCATAGTCAGTTTCCATTTCAAGCCTAGTTTATTGGGCCAGGCTACATGAGGCTAGTCAGAAGGTGGAAGTCACACCTGCAAGAAAGTCTGTTAAACACATCTGGTATGTATTTTTACTGGTATGTATCTTCTCTTTTAGCCAGCTTTTGCAGGTATATTTTTGTCGACATTCCCACTGTTTGCTTCTTTGAAAAGTTAGCCCTTAAACCCACCTTCTTTAATAGCATGATTAGAAAATCAAGTTGGAAGATTGGGGTGCAAGAGGAGACAAAGAAGGTAGGAACCGTGAACTTCATGAAATCAATCTCCTTACAATGATCCATTAAAAATATTGAATTGTGGGCCACACTCACTTTTGCTGACACTTTCCAGGGCCAGCCTGTCTCCCCCCACCTCCAAGGCCATGCAATGGAGGAAGAGCAGGCAGCCGTCCTGCTGTGTGACCTCTGCTAGGATATCTCATGGCAGGTGGAAATATTAAAAATCTACCAGGTGTTCCACAGAAGCCCTATCAGCTGAGGCTGAGTTGGATCAATACATCCCAGGCCACAGTCACAGGTTTCTTGGGGTATGGTGAGGATGCAGTCACTGAGTGTGACCACAGAACTCGAACCAACATTCCAAAAATAGCTTTAATTTGATTCTCAGGTCCTGAAAGAGTGAAGATGTGTCAGCACTGAATGCAGCACTGGCTACCCTCAAGTAATTACCCAGGGTTCAAGTCAGGTTTGTACAAACTGCACAGAAAATCATGCTGCCCTGTCTTCACTGCTCTGGGACCAGAGAAGCTCTATGAAAGCTAGCTCAGGTACATTTGTTGGGGCTACAATCACAATGTACGATTGCTGTAGAGTCGGATCCTTAGTTCCCCAGTGGAGAGAATATTCTAGATGCTTTCTGTTTCACCTTCCCCAACCAGTACACTTTCTGCCACTTGTTGCTTGAGTGGAAGTCCTGTTTATGAGACACGAGCTAGTATATTTGGAAGGCTATAGACACCCACAGCTAGATACTTTAAAAGTTATCAGTATATTTAAGATGTGGCATCAAAAGCTGATTAATTTCATAGTTCCCTTACCACATAGTGAGAGAAAAGGCAAAATGGCCTTGTTGGTTTGATTCTGATGGCAATATCTCCTTCTTTCCCTGGAGGCAGAACATTAGCATTTTCATCTATTACCTAGAATGACAGAAAAACCCTACTCAATGATTCAATGCCTTTTTGTTAAACAGAGAAATGTACTGAATTAAATGTTGAGAGAGAATCTTGTGTTGAATGGCAATTTTGGGCAGGTGTATCCTAAGGGGCAATGTTGAATAGTATAGCTGGAGTTAATACACCATAGGTCAAATTGCCACAGGGTTTTCACTGCAGGGGTAGGGGTGTCAATGGGAGAAACCTTCCTGTGAACTTCCCTAACATTTCTTGTTCTAGTGGAGTACCAGAATCAACAAGAGAGAGTGATTGGTAATTGATTTAGCAGGTCTTCGCTAGACCCATTCAATCAACCCCCAGGGGATTGAGTGCTGCAGTACCAGTTCCCTGGTAAGTATAGACATGCCATTTATCTTACTTCAGATTGATAGTGACCAGAAGTATCAAAATACCTGAACATCGTAAGGTGGGGTTGCCTTTCCCATAGAACCAGGTTTAATTTTCATCCCTTTGTGAAGTGAACATATCAAAACCTGTAAAATAAAATTGTATTTGTGCCACAAAATACAGCGCTTGATGTTTTATTTAGATATGAATAGCTATGAGTGAAAACTTTTTGTATGATCTATTTTACTAGTAAAATTTCTGTAGCAATGTTCATTTGAAAAGTGACTCCATTGTGATTTTAAACTCAATAGGCCTGATCTTTGGTTGGTGTAAATCAACACTTCTCTGAATAAGTCAACGGAGTTACCCTGACTTACACATACTGAAGATCTGGCTCAGTGGGATAAAGTCTGCTCTCAACCATACTAGTGAAAAATTACAGATTAAATCCTTTGGGCCTCAACATTCTCTTACTTGCATTTGTTTTATACCAGTTTAACTCCATTAATTACAAAGGAGTATTTCTGTGTGAGAGAAGTATCAGTGCAAGAGAAGAACTTGGTTCAGTAGGTGATATTTGCTGTTGGCTACATTATAATGATTGTGAGCATGTAAAACTGGAGACTTTATTCCTTAAGTCCAAATCTTTCTTTGAACACATGTTTCCTTCAAGGAGGTTGATGATGCTCTACAATTCAACAGATGGGGCTTAGATGTTCTCTTGCTTAAACCTGCATAGAGCTGAAGTGACTCCATTGATATCAATAGAGATGAAGCACTATAAAAAATGGTGTGAGGTCAGAATTAGGCCCATGGAACTTCCAGGTGGTTGTTCCATTAAGAATATCAGATTGTTTACCACAGGGAACTCACTGGAGCTCATTCCTGGAAACTCACGAATCTCGGAATACATACTTGAAGCTATGACCATCAGTGCAGAGGCTATGTGCCACTATACTGCTTCCTCATACTCCAAGGCCATAGGTCTGGGTCACTGCATCTCTACCTGTTGAGTGGAGCAGGTCCAATCATAAGGGGGGCAGGAGGCCCTGGGCCTCAAGCTCGAAGGGGACCTCAAATTTAGACATTTGTTAATTTTTTGGCATTTGATAAGTTTCACAACTTGTTTTTATGCACATCCCTATTGAACTAAAATGTGACATACTCTCTCATCTTAGTGCTGTAAATGTAAGCAAATTAAGAGATGTGGATTTGGTAAAAGACTTATTTTTTGTTAACTGATATAAATATTAATAAAAATATATTCATTCTGATGGCACAAGATTAGACCGTGATGAATGTGTCCTCTCAGATCAGCTGATGATATAAACATACCACTGCTAGTGTCCGCTGCTGGATCAGTGTCAAAAACTGGAAGTGGCCCAGGCCTCTCTGGACCTCTGAGAGGACCTGGAGTGGGTAAGGGGAAGAAGCCTCACCTTGTCAGGATCAGCATTTGTTTATATATGAAACCCTCCTGAGTGGATGTCACACACAAAACATTGTCTCCCAGACCTTGACTCGGTGGTAAGATGCAGCCTTGTTGTATTTTTGGAACATATTTAATGAATTAATTGCATATCTTATGGCCCCATTAATATCTGCTGCTGAAAAACTTGGCTGAAGGAACTCATACCACCTAATTAAATTCCTAGGCCAAAATGTTTAAACTGAGACATCTAAATCTATGTTTAGCCTCCTTAATAAACGTAGTCTGAATTTCAGAAATGCTGAGATCCAAAACTCTAGATGAAGTCACTGGTGCTGTGGGTGCTCAGCACCTGTGTTCCCTGTAAGCTGAGCACTTGGATAGCCACCCAGGAGAGATTCAAATGCCACCAGCTGATTAACAGAGTACCCACAACAGCAGCATGTGTTTCTACTGGTGGTGTACATCTGCAAACGCTTCAATGCACATAACAAAATTTATTCTGCACATGGATGGAAAAAATTAGAGGAAATACTGCTCAGCACCTTTGAAAACCAGATTACTTTTATTCAAGGTCTACATAAGGACTGATGCTAGTTGCCTATATTTGAAAATTTGGGGCCTGTTTTCCCAAGTAAAGTAAAAAACCTACTATAAGGATTTGATAAATTATGTAATTAATTTGAGGTAGAAATAGGCTTATTAGGTGTGTGAGTGAATGAAAACGTACTGTTTCACTCTGGCCGTATCCTTCATAGATATCCATCCCTGTTTCTTTTTTCCATCTCTCCATCACTTCAGTGCTGAGTGGCTCACCTCCACTTAGGCAACGCTTCAGGCTCTTGAATTTGTATCTTAATAAATCATTGTTTAAAAGAATGATTAGGATGATTAAAGCTCATTACTAGAGGGACTTTGATTTGGTTTGGGCTTCATTCACTGCAGCTGGCATAGAACTAAAATTTCAGCCTTTGGAAAGGTTATGATAGAATAAAGTCTGGCAAAGGAAAGATCTAGGGCTGTGATTCCATCAGAACATTGCTCAGTTGGGATGGTTAGTAAGTAATCTGGAGGTACCTGGTAAGATCATGCTGTGCCATCATGCGATAAGTTGTTGGCGTACCACAGAAAGAGGTTACAGGAAATCTGGACAAACACTTCAAATGAAAGAAAAGAAAAGTTATTTTTTAACTGTTAGTGTCTCGGAGCAGGGTTGTTTGTCTTGTGGTTGTTTGTACAGTTCCAAACACACTGCTCTATGATTTGGGCCCAAGGCACCATCACAATATAAACAAAAAAATCATAAAATAAATACATTATACTAAAAAAGGCACTGGCCTAGAATGATGTTTTGGGCTTGGTCGGGCATGGCTATGAAGAGTTCTTGTTCTTTTCTTTTTTTATCTGTATTTGAAACTTATTTGAAAGTTAACTTGCTTTTGTTTTGGATTTTAGCATTTTCCTCCATCTGTGGCAGACAAATGAGACTCCACAGTGATAGGCATAGGAGACAAGAAAGTAATAATAACTGTACTACTTAACACTTCTCTAGCACTTCCTACTCAGAGATCTCAATACTCTTTACAAAAGAGGGTAAGGAGTCATTGTTACTTTACAGATGGGGAAAGTGGGACAGGGAGATGGTGTGACTTTCCTAAGGTCACCTAGAAGCTCAGTGACAGAGCTGAGAGCAGAACTATGTTCACTGCCCTTAAGTAGAGAACTGGGAAATAGCTGTGTTATTTTTTGTGAATATGGTGCATGCTTCTGGGTGTTTGTTTATGATGAGAACTTGAAACAGGGTTGAGGACATAAAAATGGCCATACTGGGTAAGATCAAAGGTCTATTTAGCCCAGTATCCTGTCTTTTGACAGTGACCAACATCAGGTATCCCAGAGGAAATGAACAGAACAGGTAATCAAGTGATCCCTCCTTTGTTGCTCATTCCCTTTTCCTGGCAAATAGTTGTATCAAGAGCTCTTTAGAAGGACTAGGCAGAAAAGTCAAAATAATGGCACACATCAGAGCCTTTGAAAATACAACAGAGATGCTGTTAATTAGTGAGTACCCCAATACCTGACTCCACCCACACTAGAATGGTTTATTATTTCCAAGGATAAGCCTAGAATCAAAGGAAAAAAAAGAGGTTGGTTTTAGTGAGAGAGTCTGTCCAGGACAGTCAGGCTACATCTACACTACGAGTTTTCTCGGCAAACAATATGCTAATGAGGGATTCATTTGCATGAGTCATGATCTCATTTGCATATTTTCTGCCAATCTGTTTTTGTGCTGGGGATTTTGTGCCAAAACAAGCAGTGGGGACGTTTTCTTTTTGTGCAAAACCCCCTTTTTCTGCAAGATCCTTATGCCCCCAAAAAGGAGGTTTACCAATTTTATGGAAAAAGGGATTTTTGTGCAAAAAGAAAACATCCACACTGCTTGTTTTTTTGCAAAAACCCCTAGTGAAAAAACGGATCAGCAGAAAATATGCAAATGAGATCACGACATGCAAATGAGTCCCTCATTAGCATATTGTTTGCCAAGAAAACTCGTAGTGTACAGGTAGCCTTAGTGAGAGATGACAGGCAAACAAAGAGAGAGAGTGAGATAGTGCACACATGCAGGCTGTTACTTGGTTCTCTGAATGTTTGAGGTACCAACATAAATGTCCACTCTAGAGATCTGATGGGAATGCCAAGTGTAGGTAAGATAGTATGTGCATAGATCTCTGTTATTTTAAATATTTTTTCTGAGTTCTGTGCACTTTTAGACAAATAAGTTATGCTATATATAAAAAACTGCTTCTTCATACAATTATCACCCACAGGCTCCTGAAGGGAAATGCTTGCAGGTGTCTAGTCTATTGGGCTTGCTATCATCATGGCTGACAGTTAGGGGATGCGACCCAGGATTTATCTATATTTCTAAAATAAAAGCACAGCCATGGCAGCACTTCAAAGTGAAAGTGTGGCCATGGCAGGAAACCACCTATGTAAACCACCTCCATAAGGGGAGTAGCTAACAGTGCTGGGAGTCTGTTTACACCAGCACTTTGCAGTGCTGACCAGTGGGGGCCCGAGACTAGCTGCCAGCAACTGGCACCCTAGGCGAACCATGCAATCAGCGCCCACACCCCCAAACCCCAAGGGCAGATCCTTGAATTTGGCACCCCATTTAACTTGGCACCCTAAGCAACCACCTAGTTTGCCTATATGGACGGGCCGCCTCACTTGCTGCCCTCTGAGGAAGGGGTGTTTTTTTTACACCCCTAAGCCAGAAAGTTGCAGTGCAGCAAACTAGCAGTGTAAACTTAGACTCTGTGGAGACTAGTTGGATTGCAAGGTCACTTGAAAGGGATGCACTTGAGGGAAGCAGTCTCAAAAGAGGCTACTAACCAGGGATAACACTTACTACTAGAGAACATTGCCTCCCTCATAGTCTCATGATTTTTATGAAAAGTTATTTCTGATACTCTTCTTTTTTTATCATCAGCTTTGCACATATCAGTTATGACTGAAACCACATCATGATGTTTTTAGTCTTACATCCAGGACGGTTGTTGCCTCAAATTGCAGCATATGGCGTGTAAAGATACATGCACCCTGAATCCATGTAGAAAAGAAGCAGCTATAGGCAAATTTTACCCAGCCTGGGTCAGACAGGCCCCATAGGACATCAGAGGGATTCAAATCCAACCAAAGCCTGATAATAATGACAAAAAATATCATAATGAAAAACATTGAATCGAAAAACAAAGTAAATGTACAAAAGGAGAGCTGATGAATTATTTGTTGTGAACATAGTTCTTTTTTTGTTCATAAACTAATCCCAATTCCTATAAGTGGATTCCTTAGTAATAGTTATACTGTGAGTAGTTGAATGCTACCATTCCTGTGAGATGTTTCCCAACTATTTATATAATTTATTAATTATTCTTTATACTTGTGTGATTGCTCACCTAATTCACATGGTTTTGTTTCAGCTTCTTGACAGGAGAACAGATATTTCTGATCCTCCTGTTTAAAAAGTAACTAGACATATTAAATAGTGAATAAGTAGGGCTGGTCAAAATTTTTTGAATGAAACATTGCCTATCAGAAAAAAGTTTAATCAAAATAAAAAATTCTGTATGGATACGTTTTGGCAGAATTAATTTTGGCTGAATTTTCCATCAGGAAAAAAATATTTGGGAATCCCATGATATGCTGTAGCATATCAGCCACATGAAGGGACTGTGGTGTGTCACAGAATATTGATAGAAATGTAGCCGTGTTAGTCTGGGGTAGTTGAAGCAAAATGCAGGACAATGTAGCACTTTAAAGACTAACAAGATGGTTTATTAGATGATGAGCTTTCGTGGGCCAGACACACTTGCTTCACAGAATATGTCCATCAAGGGAAGAATGAGGATATAAGGGACCTGAAACTACAATTCCCATGTGGAACTCTAGTGTTTAAAGCAGATGGAGGGCGTAATGCCATCCAAGGTGAATTATTTTGATTTGACCATCTTGAAACTTTTTTTTTAATTGAAAATGTGAAAATATGGAACACTGAGAATTTGTCAAATCAAATTATTTTGTAACTTTGCCCCACAAAATGTTTGGATATTATGACTTTTCATCCAATTCAACAGGAAATGTCAAAATATCAGAATTTCCCACAGGATAGAAATTCTGTGGCTTTATCATCTCTACAAATAATCTATTCCTGGTATGAATAACCATATATTCAGGACTTTTTATATACAGGCAGTCCCCGACTTACGCGGATCCGACTTATGTCGGATCCGCACTTACGAACGGAGCTTTCTCGCCCCGGAAGTCGGGGCGAGAAAGCCCCGTTCGTAAGCTGCTCCGGTGCCCCTGGTCTGCTGGAGACCGTCTCCAGCAGACCAGGGGCACCGGGCGGGTTCCCGCGCTTCTGAGGCTTTGCCAGAGCAAAGCCTCGGAAGCGCGGGAACCGCTGCTGCTGCCACTTGGGTGCCGGTGCCTGTGGTCTGCTGGGGACCGTCCCCAGCAGACCACAGGCACCGGGACCCAAGCGGCAGCAGCGGGCGGGTTCCCGCGCTTCTGAGGCTTTGCCAGAGCAAAGCAGCAGACCACAGGCACCGGGTCTCAAGCGGCAGCAGCAGCGGTTCCCGCGCTTCTGAGGCTTTGCTCCAGCAGACCAGGGGCACCGGAGCAGCTTACGAACGGGGCTTTCTCGCCCTGGAGCTCGCAGGTAGCAATCCGCTACCTCGACCTCCGGGGCGAGACCGCCCCGTTCGTAAGAGCGGATCCGA